CCTGGCCGCGACCCCTCCACACGCACACACCCCACGCGTGTGCCCTCAGCCGGAGCATCCCCTGCTGCTGCTGCTGCTGAACCCGCGGGGGGTTTTTGTTTTCACACCTTCCCCTGCGGCTCCAAGTGTCAAAATACAGGGGTAAACCCGCGGCTTAGGGATGTAGAGAAACAAGGGATGTTTCCAGGTGCGATTATCCTTATATCCCACTCTGTGCTCACACCCACACGCGGGGGTTTCAGTCCCTGAGCGCCTTCTGGCCATTGCCTGGGTGGAACACGGTTCTTCCCTGCTGCCTACATTCAGATATGTTAGGGTCACGGGGAACCCTATACTCAGAGAGCCTGATCTCCCGTGTAAGACAGGAATTTCTGGGAATACAGTTTCCCTCAGAAACAAAGCCCAAACAGCTGGTGGAGCTACAATAAACACAGCAGAAAGGTGCTTTGAAAGCGCTGAGTTAAAATGAATCCATTCCATTCCCAGGCAAGGGGTTCCCATGCTTAATGACACTAATTTAGCTCAATTTTAGCCACAGGAGCTCACTACACCACTCCCTGCCTTCCTGCCCAAGGAAACCTTCACTCACTCCTGTTTTAAGTGTGGCACCATCTCACAAATCTTCACCAAAATCCCTGTCTCCTTACACAGCGATCTGCTATTAAAACAAATGACCCCCTTATTCAGCAGAGAACGAGTTTGCTGCTTCACTCGAATTCCCTTCCAAAAATAGTTCTGTTCTTTAACACGAGGTGTAGCAAAGCCGTTAATCAACATTATTCCTCTGCAAAATTCCGACTGATGCCCTGCCCTGGACTCCAGAGCCTGTCCCAGTCCGTGTCATGCCATCAGCCCTCCCCGCATCCAAGTGCCATGAGCTAAAAGCAGCCTCGGGAAGCACACGCTGCAAAGTCACCAGAGTTCCTAGTGCATTAGGGAGATGCTAAATTTAGCCTACCTGCTAATTAATTTAGAAACTACTTAGTTGCGTTTGCGCCGGGATTTAGCCAATACCTTTAGCCCCACCTCCAGCTCCGTGTCCCTGCATCCCTCCCTCCCCTGCTGACGCTTTTGGCAGCTTTTTGGAACACCTGGCATGTCTTTTGCTGAACAAGAGCCACCGGCTGTTTGATGGGAAAGCACCGTTATTCCTCACTTGTGGAACACTACAGGTGTAGAGGATGTTTTTCCAAACCCGTACAACAGAGAGCTTTCATCCTGCTCCCTTCTATTTGTTCCAGTGCCACTCTCCATGTCCTGGTACTTCCAGGAGGAACATCTGTCCAGGTCACCTCTGTCACACAAGGGCATGTCCCTTCCTTGGATCCCACCACCGTGCCTTGTGCACAACCAATAGGTTTATTCCTGGGAAGTACCAGCACAATTCCAGCCTGCTGCAGGCTGGCAACACAGCTCAGGAACTCCAGGGCCACAGATAGACTGGATGGATCTGGATGAGGAGGAGGGCTGAGAAAGAATAACAACTGATAGCAGGTTGTGGGAAATGGAGATTTAGTCATTGAGAAGGCTGGATCAGACGGAATCAGTGGAAAACTAAGACCCAGGTGAGAGGGAAACAGTGCTCTGGCCATGAGCAAGTCTTCCATATTTAAAGGTGATATTGGAGCGGGGCTCCCAGGAAACCTTGGGATGCTGTTCCTGCTCACATTTAGAATGAGGTTTCCCTCCTGTTTTCTTGCAAATCTATTTTACCATTTATCTCCAAAATAATGAGGCTTTTTCACTCCTTTCTTACCTCCCAAGCCTCTGCCAGGTGAAGGGCTTCCCTCACTTCTGGTGCCCAGGCACAGCCCATTCCAAGAGTGGAGCTGCTGAAGGAAATCAAGGACATAATAAAATTCCCAGGGATTCCTAGGACGCTAAGCTAGTACAGAGAAGCTCCAGCTCTGAATGGCCTCAACAGGAGCAGACTATCTCCTCTCCTGTCCCCACTGAGGCTGCTGGAATGCCGTGTGTCCAAGCCCTGCTTGGAGCTCTGTGCCAGCAGGAGCTGCGGATGGTGCTGGAAGAGGAGTGCAAAGAGAAGCAGAAGGGAAAAATCTGTCTGAAAATGAGATGCAGTGCAGAGTGGCTGCAATTCTCAGGACTGCCTAAGGGACTTGGATGACAAATTCCTACTTAATTGGGCATTATAATTTCCTAGGCATCCTTGAAAACCTCTGCCAAGGCTTACCAATTTCCATGTCCAGCTTTGGGGAGCAGCCTGTTCTCTCCCAGCCCACAGTACAAGCTTCACCTTAGCGAAGAAAAGCAGTTTTCTGCTCCAAGTATTTAGCTTTTGTGATGAGAACATCTCTTTCTTAGCCACCCTTTTGCCCCCAGTGATATTCTCTCTATATTTTGATATTAATGTTTTTCTTATTGATATCTGCAGGTCCCGGATTAAAGTGCATTCCTGCTAAACAGACCTCCAGCCTTATTCCCACCACTTAATGTACTCTCTGCTGTGCCTGGGAGTTACAATCCCCCCTTGGCACAGCTTTGCCCTTTCGCCTGCTTTTTCACTTGGGCAGTGATTTTACACTCCAGTTCCTTTTGGATGAACAGCCTGTAAGATGCACAGAACCGGTTTTCCCGCTGAAATATTTCTAGTCTCGGGCTCTAAGCACTCTACTGTGATCCTCTGAGCAGGCTCAAGGTTTCTTGAGGGATATTATTCCTGGGCATCAATACCAGAGGACAGGTTATTTTGACTTTGTGCCTGACGTGAGGACCACGAGTTCCTCCCTGCTGATGCCATTCAGGAGGTCAGTGCTCCGGCATCAGAACGATCAGCAGAGAATTAACAGCTGGGTAACAGATAAATGAGTTCATCCTCGTCTATGCGAGGGGAATGATGCTTTGTGACACCTACAGATCATCTGCAGATCGAATTTGCAGAGTGCTGCAGCAAACAGCGGCATGGCTGCTGCTTCTTGCCCTGCCTTCTCATTTTACAGCAACAACCCCCTCGGATAAGAGCCCTGCTCTTATACTGCTAAACACGACCGGCGAAGGGCTGAGCTGGGTTAATGCGTATTGCTCCGTTCCTTTAAAACACCCGAATCCATAGTTTCCCGAGGTTCCCGAGTGCCAGGCTGCAGGATGCCGGCGGTGGCTGATGCCCGGCAGCTCTGCAGCGCGGGCACGCAATGCGATGCGCCGCCTCCCCTCGGGAAATCATCCGGTGCGGGCGGCGTTGGAGAAGAAGTGCTGCCCGCAGACAGGTCTGCACACAAAAGCGGGAGCACCATGGAAACTGCCGGAGAACAAAGGAGACGCACAAAGCCGTGCCGGGACCTGCGAGAAATGTCCGAAATACTTCTCTGTGCCTCAGCCCCCACCGCGCCAAACTCAGCTATGACCGCCCAGGGATTTCAGCGGGGTCAGGGTTTCGCTGCCTCACCCTCTGATACAAAAAAATTGGGAATCGTGACAAGCAGATTTTGCAGAGAATTGTGTTTTCCATCTCCAAGGTGATGGTGTAAAGTAGGGCAGCCTGCGGGGAATACACAGAAAAAGCATTTACTCCTCAGCAAGGACTGGAAAAGAGCCTACTAGAAGGGATAAAAAGTAGGAGTTAAAAGACATGCTTTGCACTCCAGAGACTCAGGGGCTGTTTGAGGCAACTTTCAGTGTCTCTTTATCCACTTTTTTTCCCTCTTCCCTGGGTGCCAACTGCTGCTGCTGCTGGAGGTGAGTGCCGAGCTCAAGGAAACCTCAGTCCCACTGGGTATATGGCTGCTTTGATTAGTTCTTCCTTTTAACATCTGCTGTTAAAGCAAATTAGATGAAGATTTGGCTGAGACAACTGCACGGAGTGTTAGCAGCACATTCCAGCTCAGAGAGCCCACACTGTACCCTTTTCCTTAGTGGTTGTAGCAGACCCTCCAGCAGGATTTGGACTGTACTGGCAGGAGGCTGACACAGCGTGCCCAACACACATCTCCTTACATTCAGGAACAGCTGAAACATGGTGTAACAGCAGTTTTGGGGCTGGGACTTCTGCTGGATAACAACAGTATTTACTCCTACGTGGTATTTAGTTACATTTTGATGCCCCTGATAAGCACCAGGAAACAACCTCTAGCAATTCCCACAGTGCTTGTAAGGATGTCAGAAAGCCATGGCGTGACACTGCCAGTTCTTTTTCCTCCTCAGTGGCTCCAAGTCTCGGTGACAGATGAATACAAAACAGATGGGATGGTGGCAGAACCTCATCAGATGGACCTGATGGGCCTCAAGCTGCCCGTGCTATGGCATAGATTAGTGTCATGTAATGCTGGGCTTTGTATTTTGATATTGAAAGCCATGCAGTGGCTTCAATCTTGGGTCTTGTCCTGTCCTTATGTCAGGATCCTCATTTTGATTTTCTGTAAAAGATAGATTTGGGAAGCTGTATCTTCCTTTCTGTGTATCAGCTTTCTGTGCTAAGCTTTGAAACAGCAAAAGAGGCTTTTCTACTCTGGGAAAAGGCCTTTTGAGTTGCTGCATTTAAAAACCAGACCAAAAACTCTAATTCGGTCCAAACCAAGTATTTGGTCTCACTAGATTTCTGTCATGTGTGCTTCTCAGATTGCTGTTATCTCCCATGTATTTAACAGCCATACCAATTTAGAAATATCTTTATTTGGCCATAGCAACACATCTGACACGTTTAGTCTGAGAGATCCCTGCGAGCTCGTCTCTGAGCATCCACAGCAGAGCCATGGCACTGAAAAAATAACATCTTTTCCTTCTGACATAATTGCTCCTTGCCTTTTCCACAGCACACACGGGATGTTCCCAAGGGACACTGCAGTCACACTACCCAGTCAGCTTGCTGAGGCCAAGAATATTAGTCATGCTCTCCATGACCCTGCAGCCCCCCCAAAAGGGTCTGTCCTGACTCTGCACAGAGCCACCAGGTCACTCTCTCCATCACAACTGGCTCAGGAAACATCTTGGTGAATGCCAAAAAACTGGGAAGCTCCTCTCATTGGGAAGCAGAGCTACTTGGTCAAAGTGATGTTGTCTGATGGGTTTGGCAGATCAGTCCCTCTCAGGACGTTCCTGGTCTGGCTTCAGGCATGATGCAAACCCAGGAGAACAGCTCCCCTGCGGTACCTTGTCACTTCTGATCCCCATCACGGCTAAAACCAGACAGTCCTGAGACACGAGGAAAAAAAAATTGTTTTCAAAATTAACCCCTTGAACCTGGGTCAGGACCTCTCTGGATGAGGCAGCCACGGAGATTTGGAAAGGTGGTGATGGCCCGTGTCAGAACCACCGTGGTGAGACAGGTTGATTAACATCTGCCCACGCAGCAGGACACACTGTCTGCCATCCAGCAGCCTTCCCTCTGGGAGAGTGGAGAGAAACAACATTTTCTGGGCAAGCAAGCTGTCTTTCCAGCACAGCATGCCAGGAGAACATTACAGAAAACATTCCCTTTCTCCCAGCCTTGCCCACCACCAATTTCAGCAGGAATACCTCCATTTCCCCCCATAAACTGCCATCTCACATCCAAAGTTCTTGTCTCATATACAATGTGACCACACAGAGCATTAGCTCTCATAGCCATGACTCCTCATTATGGAATCTCCTGCCATCCCTTTCCAACAACAGCTCCTCAGGAAGCTCCCTGAGGAAGGACTCACTCTTCTGCATGCACCATTCAGCTACCAGTTGCTGTAATGTATTTGAATATTCCTTAAAATTGTTGCTTTTGCACAAAGGATGATTGTATATATGTAATTATATATATACAATTTAGGACAAAATTAACATGGAGTTCCCAACCAGCAAAGCAATAGAGTAGGAGTTAAGGAGAGTGGGAGACACTATCCCGCTTCCCTAAAGGCAAGATTCCAACCCAGCCACAAGCAGAGCCAAAACACTTGGATAATAAATGGAATATAAAGTACAGCACAGGAGCTGTAATCAGGACACCTGAAACAGGGGATGGTGCCAAATTCAGGCTTAAAAGCTGCAAAACAGCTCTGCGTGTGTCTCCCTGCTGGAAGCTGCAGATGACCCACTCTGCCACTGCAGCTGTACCTATATATAGTTATGAGAGATTTGGCTATAAAAATACATCTATAGATACAGTGTAAGCCCAAATAGGCTACACAGCTGCATGCTTCAACACCCAAATAATTTAAAACATTTTGGCCTGATTCTAATAATATTATTCTGTTTTTTCCACCAGTGTAAGAGCGTGGCAAAGGACCTGGATAAGGAAGGTTTCAGGTATGCTCATGGTCAGGAGGTTCAAGAGAGAGTTCACCTTCAATTCCCACAGCCAGTGACAAAGAGAAAAGGAATGGGCATCAAAAGTTCAGGGAAGGAAAGGATGAATCAATAAGAATAAAAATTAATTCCCTCTCGCTTAAGTTTTTCAAGAGACTCACTGTGTTTTTTCCACAGTTCTGCTTCTACACCAAAAATCACTTCTGGTGTAAAGGCAGACCTGAACCAACAGGTCACATAAACTTTGTGCTCATGGAGAAGGTTTTCCAGGCTAAACCTTGTAAGAAGTTACCTACTGAGCACCAGACAAGATGGGCAAGGTCTGAGAGAGCAGCTGGATTCCCAAAACACTCAAACAAATACACAAAGCACCAGGTAAAACTTTTCATATCAGAACCACGTTTCAGTGTATGTGGGAAAGGAAACAAACACCAGCCACGGTGAGGGAAAACAAACCAAAAACAAAGGAGAAAATTGCACAAAGCAGGGAGGCCAAAAGGTATTCAACCGTGCCTGTGCCTGCTCCATCCATTATTCACAGGGTGGGAGAACTGGACCATCCCTTCTCCCAAGAGATGTACCTGGCTTTATCTGTGCCATCAGCCAAACAGACTGGATGCCACAGTGCCCTCAGCTTTGTGTTGTGCCCGCAGCCCAGATCGGCTGGAGCAGCTTTGCCCTCTGCTGGTCCCACGGGGCCCCTCAGCCCATCCTGGGCAGGAGCCTCTCTGTCACCCCTCGGGGCTGCCACCCCCACCCCCAGCCATCCCCAGGATGACTCCCCAGAGTGCCTTAGTCAGGGAACAGCCTTAGTTAAAAACCTGGAAAAAAAGAGTAAAACCGACCCTCTGAATTCCACGGAGCCGCAGGCCAGAGAGGTAGAAGGGGCAGTTGAACGACCTTAATTAAATCACACCACGCTGGAAGGCTTTCCCCATCCCACTCACGACTCCTGATTGCATTCCAAGTCCTTTCTTTAGCCCAAATCACCGGGATTGCACGCTGCAAGGAAACATTTGGAAACAGCATTCCTGGCAGGCAGCTACCGCTGAGGGGTGCACGGGGCCAGGGAAGAGAATCCCCACGGCAGGAATACAGGCAGCCCCTCCGCCCAGGGAGACACCCAAGGGGCCAGGGCTGCTTTGTCCCACCCCCGTACCCCTCTCCCAGTTGTTTTCCCGCTCGGATGTTTGTTTGGTTCCACTAAAAAAACGCCGTAAAAAGGCGATAAAAGCGCAGCCGACGTTTGTCCGGCACAAAACCGGTTACCCGGGCAACGGGAAGCAAAGCTCTCCCAGATTCTCCGGCTTGTTTTTCCCCTCGTTTTGCAGGGATTGGTGCGACTTGGGTGACGGCTGCATGTGCCAGGGAGGGATGAATAGGAGAGCTGGCCTGGCTCTGCTGCCAACCAACAAAAACTCGTGTGCTGCCAAGTCCCCGGAGAGCTGGCGACTTCCTCACACCCATCCACAGCGACTTGTAGGTAACTGCATTACCCCCTCACTCAGGCACATCTCAAAGTCACCCAAGCATACCTGATCTAATTACTTTTCCAGCACTGTGCAGCATTATTCCCATGATTTAATCGTGCCTGGGATCATTAGACACCATGGTACCCTTAGGAAAGCAATTATGACACTGCCCTATGTTGTTTTCAGGGGCGTGGGCAGGCAAGTGCCTTTGTCATCTGTCAGAGGGTAATTTTCTAATTTCATTTGGAGCTTCTCTAGAAAAAGATAATTTACTTACCTGCTGGCTTTCAAGGATGCCTTAAAGCCTGTTTAAACTAGTGTACTGACTACATCTTGGGGGAAAAGAAACCCCAAAACACCAGGATTGGCTGTGTAAAATAAAACAGGTAGAACAGCCTCACTCCAGGTGACAGTAAGATGAGGACAATTGAACTTCAACATTAACACAGGGTGCAAAATCAAATTTAAAAAGGTTTTTCTACACTGCAGAGGCAGGCAGGAGGGGCAAAGCATCATGTTCTGTGCTACTGAAAACCTGCAGGTCCAGGAATCCCGGGATATCAGGCAGGTGTTCCACCAAAACCAGTCCTGCTGCTGCCACGCAGAGTCTGCAACTCGTGGGAGAGAAGTAGAAATATGAGTGCTAAAAATAATATCAGATTCAGCCCCGTGCTGGGTCACAAAGAGCAAAAAAATCGATGCTGGGTTCTGCTCCAGGCAGATGGATGTGGAATGATGTTCTCTCAAAACAGTCGGGGGAGGCAGAAAAATCAGCAAAACCAAATGAGCACTCCAAGGTTAGGAATTCCTATAATTTTGCAGTATCATCCTGAATTGTTAAGTAAAAGTGTATTTCTTGGGGAAAAAAAAAAAGGGAAGAGTCACTGTGGGAAGTTCCTAGAGGTGAAATATGAATAATTTTTAGGGATGCAAGTCTTGGGAGGGTAAAACTCAATAGCTGGACTCCTCAGCATATGATGGGGAAGGATAACAGCAGCAAAAATTAACTGTCACATGCATTTAAAGATAAAAAACCACACAAACCATTCTGGCATCCTTGAGAATCCAAGGTTTTGTAAAAGCATCTAGACCATCCTCTCCGTTCCTGATTTATGAATTAAGAGCAAAAATGCTGTTATGAACTTCTTCAGGAAGTGATAAACACCGACTGTCCTTCCCTGCTGAAGCAGATTGCTGCACTAGTTTGGAAAAGGAGAAAAAGAAAACTCATGTTGAAGTGTAAGGAATTATCCTGCATAAATATGGAAAGGGACAGAAAGGGTGACTTCTGTGTGTTAAAGTCAGAAAATATTAATACAAGACCAATAACTCCCAGACTTGGGCTTTTGCAGTTCAGTTCCACTCTCCACCACACATAAAAAGTCTGAATCATTTATGAACTGAATTATTTATAACACGGATATATTTTTGACTCAAATGAACTTCAGCAGCAAAATCCCAAACATTTTACCCAGAGCAAGTTTTTGGGTTTAATTTTTTCCCCTTCACAGAAGTGGAAAAAGAAAACAAACTGTCTTTTAGCAGGATAATGAGAAAAAAACATTAATGGATCAATTCTTTTCATAGGTAGGTATGAAAATGACTTTTTATGTGTCATCAAATATCTTACCCACCTAGGATGGGAGGAGTTCAAGATTAAATAATAATAATAAATAAAAAATGCTGCGATTGGACTAAACACTTGAATATTGCAGGAGTCCACAGGGCAGTGCCTGGGTTAGTTCTTAGCCTTCCCCCACCTTTCCCCTGGGAGGAATCCCCCACACACCAATTCCAAGAACCATCAGCAAGCTCTTCCCCTCCAGCCCTTCCAGCCCTTTTGTTCGTCCCTTATCTTGCACTTTTCCCCCCTGGATTCCTGCTATCTCCAGCCTGATCGCTGCTGTTCCCTCTCCATTGAGTCGTGCTAATCCTCTCCATTCACTCCCTCCCTGCCAGCAGGGCTGAGTCACTCACAAGTGCAGCCTCGTGTAGAATTCCAGTTCTACCTTCAGGGATTTTTAAAATATTGCCAGTCTCCCATGAAATACTTGAAAGCCATTAAAATCACCTTCTTAACCTGTGAACTACCCGACTTTTAACACTTATCTGCAAATGAGAACTACTTCTGGAGCTAGAGCAACCACAGGTATCAAACAAAGATATTATTTCTTCCACCGAAGATTCTTCTAAAACAAATTAAAAAAAAAAGCTAAATTCAGTTTAGTGTGTATTTATACAAGGAAATTTTCTCCCAGACTTCTCCACGACAGAGTTCCCAACTGAAAATACAGGGAAGATTATTCTCCTGTACTTTGAAACAGTTTGATGGGCTAAAGAGAGGCCTAGAGAGGTTTATGCAGCATTACCACTTTTATTATTTATGGTGGCATAAAGCAAATGGAAGAATTAGAGATACACAGCTGAAATTTTCTCAAGCGTTTTATTTTATAACCTAGTGTATAAAACTTCAGCATACAAAAAAAAATTCCAAAAAAAAAATAATAACAGAACAACAACAACAACAACAAAAAAACAACCCCGGAAGTGAACTAAAGCAAAAATCTTGTCATACACATTTTCCAGAAAGCTTTACCTAGGAAGGCTCAGAAGCAGTAAACATTCAGCCTATTCAAAAATGGGGGTTCAGACCCATCTTCACACTTGCAGTCCGCAGAGTTCTGGCTCCAGGGGCCCGGGTTTAGTCGCTGTGAGCAGTGGTGGCTGTGGGGGCTGGTTTTTTTGGTAGGTTTGTTTGAAATACCTGCAGTTCACACTGGAAGATCATCAGTCCTGGTTAGTTGCCATCAGTGAAGTGAATGTGTTTGCTTGTCTGCTTAGTCTTCTCCAGTCTCATCCTCTCAGCCTTGGCAATCAACTGCAAACAGGGAAAACAGCACAGAAAATTAGAGAAAAGTGATATTCTTAGGATTTGATCTTCCAGTCGTGGATATATTCTTCACTGGTTTACCGAACTTCCTAAGAAAAAGCTCATCTGAGCAGCTGAGCTAAGCTGGATATCTGTCAGAAATAAATACATATGATATAAATTCAGTGTTGCCTCAGAATCATCCAAAATAAAAGTGTCTCTTCAGTTGCTTTCATTCCATCCCTTCTTCCTCCCAACATGGTCGAAGAGAACAAAATATTAATTTTAAAATCCTAAAATACAGTCTTGCACAGTAAGTAAAAACGAATCCAGTAAAAGGACAGAGTTTTTTGTTACAGATGTAGGAAAGACAAGGTTAGGCCACAAAAGGAGTGCTTCAGGAATATTGTGGCATTTTAAACAGGAAAAAAACCCCACACCTCCAGCACACCACACAGAAACCCACACACACCACTCAAGAACAACTATAAAAGCACAGAAAAACCACACACACAAATAAAAAACCCACAGAACCCCCCCCATGAATACAAACACATAAACCCACTGAAGACACACACAAAACCCACAAGCCACAAAACACACTGAAACTACAAATTCACACACAAAACCCAGAAACCCCTCAAATCTACACAGAAAAACGCACACACACAAACCACAGAAACCACAAATCAACACAAGAATCCCCAGAAAAAAGGAAAATGGAAAAGCCCCACAAACCAGCACAAAAACAGAGCTGAAGGCACATACAAACCCCACACAATCCAGCACCATGAATGCACTCAAAGGAACATACAGAACCCAACCCCCCCCAAAAAAACCCACCAAATTCTCCAAAAATAACACGAAAAA